ACACACACACACACACACACACACACACACACACACACACACACACACACACACACACACACACACACACACACACACACACACACACACACATGTATATATATATATAGATAGATATATACATACATTTATATATACTTGTGTGTACGTCTATAAATTTGTTCTTAGATTGACGCATATATCATGTTAGGCTGTTTCATTGATTTATGCATAGTGGGACACAGCCAGTCCAACGCACACAGCACAATCACGACACCAACCCCACAAGTATATACCACGGGTTGAACCTCATATCATTGGCACGCGGCTATTCTATTCACAACAGCCACAAGCATAACCCCCAACACACCTCCTCTGGAGCGGACCACTCGATGTACATGGTTGCCCCGGCAATCTGGAAGTGCAGCGGCCCAGGGATGGATGGGACTGAGCTGTCCTTGGTGCTGATCTGCACCTCATCGCTCCAGCCCCCCTGTCCGCAGCCATTGACCCCCGCCAGCCGCACGTAGTATAGTGTGTGGGGGGTTAGGGTGAACTGATCCAACGACAGTGAGTTGCGCACCGACGCCTTTGCACCTGCCCTGACTCCCCTGGCCCCGGCCCTAAGGTCTACAGGTGCAACACTCCACCCGCGGCCGTAGTTGCCTGTGCTGGCCCACCCCACATTGACCTCCTTGGCGTACGGTAGCGTTCCGGCGGTATCCCCAGGCGGCGTGGGGTTGTGGCTGTCGGTGGTGTCGAGGCTGTGCTGCGTTGTGGCATACCCTGTTGTGCCTACCCCCATGGGCGGGCTCTCCGCGTCCACCGATGTGCCTGTTGCTGTGACAGGGTGTGTGTCTGGGTGTGTGTCTGGGTGTGTGTCTGTAGCTGTGGCTGTGTCTGTGGCTGTGTCTGTGGCTGTGTGACTAGAGGTGGAGGGTGCGTTGGTGCCCGTGATGCTAGCCACCACACTGCCTGCCTGTGTCAGTTTAAGCCGTAGTACATTGGGCCGTGTCCCTTTTGCGCTGTCTTCGCTATCGTGTGCGTGATTGTGGAGGGCCTTGTCCGTATCGCTATTGGCGTGTTCGTGTGCGTGTGTGTCTGTGTGTGTGTCGGTGCTCACGCTCTCGTCCTGCTCAGACTGTGGCGTGAGTGGAGGTGAGTGTGCATAGGCCTCCCTTGTAGACCCGGGGGCCATGGGCGTGCCGGTGCTTGTATGGCTGTCCACGTGTGAGTGTGTGCGTGTGTTTGTCCCTGCCTTGTGCGCCTGTGCCTTGAGCACAGCAGTGGAATGGGTGAATGGGTTGGTATTACTAGCCGGCATGAGCGAGTGGAAGTCCGTGAAGCTGACTGAGTTGGTCTTCACATACCCAACCTCATACCACCTTCCCCGCTGCACCCCCAAATTCAACGGCATAGTGGCAATCTCCTTCTTTGTAGCCTCCGCCGCAGCGCCTTGCCCTTGCTTGATGGTCCCTATGTCTGACGACTGATATCTTTGTATGTCTTCACCTTTACCCGACTCCGCATCTTCATGAGATTGCAATACCGGATTGAAAGGAGAGGGCAATTTGGAAGGTGGCTGTTGACCGAAAAAGATAAGCAAAGAAGTTTCAATTCATGAAGACATAGTCAGTTTATTATGTATGTATTGATATGTATCAATACATATATATTCGTATATATATATATATACAATATATTCATATATATA